AAATCTCTGTCAAATTTTCTTTATAGAAAAGAAAAATTATAGCTTTTGTTCCTAAGGCATAATTGATTTATCTTTCAATTTAACACCTTTTTCCTTTTTCCAATTTTCACCAGGAATTGTTGATAAACAATATCCAAATTAAAAAAAATTTCATCTAATAAAAGTATTAACAAACCTAATGCCTGTTTATAAAATTCTGGTGTAAACTAAGTGCATTTATTTAAATTCTCCCATGCAATGGTATAGATAATAAAGAATAATAGTAATGATATTTATACAAACGTAAGAATTTATGGTTGCTTCAGGGTTAATAAAAATAATTTGATAAGGAAAAGCTCACACTTTGAAACTGTTCAAATGAAAGGAAAAACATTATTTTTGCTTTAAATTATGTTTTTTTTTATTAATTTTTCACTTTTCTTTCCATTTCATCTATTTTCTTCATTTTCTTGTAATCCTTTTCAGTAGCTTTTTTAATATCTTTTTTATAATCCTTTTTTATAATCGCTTGATTTTTACGGAAGATAAATACATGAGAAAGAGATGATGATGATGATGAGGAGGAAGAAGGAGATGAAGGTGATTTGAAGAATTTTTAAAAATTATAAACTTTACTTGTTATGTACTGTCTCTGCTTATACAATCTGTATGATGGATCGGATGCTCTTAAATATTGTCTATATCAGCCAATATATGCATATGCTAAATTATAACATTGCAAAGTTAGCAGCATCTATTTGCTATGCTTTTTGCCGGATTAATATCATTCAATATGGTAGCTATCATTTTAAAGATGTTGGAAATAAAAGGTTAATAGACCAAACTGTGAAGCTATTAAAATGAAAGAAATATTTGTTATAGGCTAAATGAAAAACTTTCTGGTATTTATTTATTATTAGATTTTTTTATATCCCTTTTTTTTAACAATAGTTGCATAACAACATAAAGAAGAATTTCGATTTATATAATCTATCTCTTTGTATATCTGTCTACAAATTAACTGAATGTCTTTTAAACTATTTATAGAGAAAAAGGAAGTATAAAGAGTAACAAAAAAAAGAAAGATTTTTAAAAAATTAAAGCCTATAAATGTATTGATTGGCAGTAGCTTTTTATTTAATGAATAAGAATTAATTTAATAAAATGTATAACAATGAAAAGTAATTAAAATTGAGTATATATATATATAGATATAGATGTGTGTGTATATATATTTGCATAAAGTTAATATCTCTTCTGTATTCTTGTCCATTTTGTCTATTAAGTTCATCTATCAAACACACACCGTCTCTCTCTCATTCTTCCTATTTTCATATTTATTCACTTAGAATGCATGAATTATGCATAAAAATGTACATATTAATAAATTCAAAATTGATAATTTAATAATACTATGTAAATAAGTTGAATACTTGCAAATATGATCAGAAGTTTTATACATTTTTATTGAATATTCAGTAGAACTGTACTGATAAAAACAATATATGTATATATTCCATTCGTTTATTATAGAGCACATAAAATTATCCTGAAAAAGTCCAACCATATATCATATTATTCTGTACATAAATAAATTGTGTGATATAACAACGTGACACATTTGTTTGGTTTTTCCTTTCGTCTTTAGCTTACATATTTAAACTGCATTTCTTCCATAATACATGAATAGAATGATAAATTTATCAATTTCTACAGTTAACGAGATGACTTATGAAGAGGAAATGTTTTAGAAACGATGAAGACCTATTTCCCGAAATAAAAGTATGAAAAGTCTATAGCTCACAGTTGCAGAGAGAATAAAAACCTAAGATAAATACTATCAAAAATATATAATATATAATTCTTAATAGTATTAATAGTATAGACTAAAGAGTCGTAGATAAATGAATTTTTTAAATAGCTATAAACTGTGTACGATAGTCGAGAATTTCTGTGTATATTCTAAATTTCATTTATGTTGTTTTAAAAAAAAAAAACACAGCATAGGTAATCAAGTACGCGAAACCTTCTCTCCCTTAAGGTGATGAAAGAGTCTTCGTATAAAAAACAAATGAGATAAAATAATATGAAACATAAAGAAAATTTACCAATCAATTTATATAATAGTGTTTAATAGGAATTATTTTTTTGTTTCCATCCCAAATGCATTGATATAATATATTGATATTATTATTATTAGTAGTATTACTGTATGAATAAAATATGATCCTATTCGTCTCCTGAGAAACACGAGATTAAGGAAATAATGTACGGAAAGAAAAGAAGTTTAAGAATGAAACAAAGTTGAGAAAATAGATAATTTTTAAAATTCCGCATCACCAATCATTGATCCATGACCACCTAAACTCCTACCCGAAACTTGACCAGCGTGTGCCTCAGCTTTCTTTAAAAGTCCACATAGTAGGAACACGCAAGTTAGCGCAATTAGAATACTGAGTAGAATGATAACAGATGCGTGAGATGCGAACTGCAATTTATCAGAGGTGCGCAATATCGAAACGTCTGTAGCAAATGTACCGTTCTTTGATGTAGCGTTGATGACGTCATTCGTTACAAGAAGCATTTAAGTAAGCAATTAGCTATTACCTTTGTATATTTGCATAGGCGTGCCTACAAAACAAGTATTTTGAATATGATTTTCATTTCCAAGTATAAATTTATGAATAATTTATAAACTTAGATAAAAAAGTAATTTCTTTTTATACAAACCTATGAGAAATGCAAGTAACAAGTTAAAAATATATAAATAAGGATGATATTCGAAACTAAAGGTTTCTATCCGATTGACTAAACAACTTCAAAACTGTTTGATGATCGATTCGAACGACTAACTGAAAAAAACTGCAGAGTTCACGGTTCTGTATAGACTGGTTTGCTATTCCTTTTTCCAATTGTAAATGTATAGACACGCCTTATTTTTTTTTGATTAAGTTATCAAGATATTCTCAAACAGTTTAGTTTTGCCAAATAAACATTTGTTCTGATTAGAGCGTTAATAATACTTATAATACACACAAAAAATGAGAGGATTATACAACTATCTTCAATTTTCGTTCCATCATTTTCTACCCCTTTCACCAGCTTTCTTACCGTTTCCGTCATAAACGTTTCGCTAATATTCCTTTTTTTTATCATATTATATATTATAGTTTAATTGCATGCTGAGCCTTATATTCTATAATATATATACTGTTTATACCATGCATGTATATATATATTCTTTTAATTATAGTTTTATTTACTTCAGTGCACGGAATGAGCTTTTTTGTGTTGAACTTGGCGAAGAGCACTCTTTTTAAGTATATTAAAAACCTTGATTTTGTAAGTATAAATATGAATTAAAATTGAAATTTAAAATTTTTTAGCTATTCCTTTGATCATAAAGCAATTACTTTTCTAGTGCTAATTAGACGAAATGTAATAAATATCTACTGTTTTTAAAAAGAGGAAACTGGTATTGTTAATCGTTTATATTAAAAAAAAGAGAGAAAGAAGTAACAAATATTCCAGATGAAGAGAAGAATTCGGAATAAATTAACTATATAGGTGAGTATATATAATATCTTTGCGTTTAACTTACACCCTGGACAATTTTCTTCGATAATGGGTAAATGGACATGTTAACTCGATAAACTAATGAAAAATGTAAATGTTACTTTTGTACGAAACGTTATTTAAACGATTTTCAATTAATAACGTACACTCTAGTAATATCTTAGAATTTAGTATAAATATATCATTGAGGGAATGGCTTTCTTTACTATGGCAGAGAATATACGATAACAGTGATGAGTAGAGCAGATAACAGAAACCGGAAGTTAGGGTAATGGTTCATTTTCTTAAAAAAAAGGAGAAATATTCTACTCGGCTAAAAATAGATGATCATTAGTTGTAAAGTGAAATCTTTTAAATCTAATTGGTTAATAAACAATACTTAAATATCAAAATACTTAAAGAGTGTAATTATATTTATTAAACATATCTGACCTATAATTTACTGACTGTTTTATATTAATTACTATTATTTATAATTATTATATACAAGTCATATCGTAATGTTTAATTAAATTTATACAATGTTTTGTATATAATATTAATAGAATAAGTAAATTAATAAAGCAGTTCAACTAAACATTATAGCCTACTTGAAATTTTCTTTAATCACTAAATGACAACTATTAAAGAGAAATCTGTTTCCTGCCTGGGAAATAGAAATCAATATTCAAATTCATTAGGCCAATAGTCATCATTCGTTCATATAAACTATTAACAATCATTCCAAGTTTTATATTTTAACATTGACAATAAGCTTAATGTGTCAGTATATTTCAGTAAACGTTACCATTAAAAAACAATACACCCATTCAACTTTACTGTAAAATATTTAGCCTAAAATTTACATCACGCTTGTTCATACATTCTTTTGTTTCTTATTTGTTTCGACTTCTATCTGTATCTTTTATTCTTTTTCCCCTCACTTTGCTCTATTTTTTTTCTCTTGCAATGCCTTTTATCATTTATCTCAACGAATCTATCTGTAAATGATCTTCCTCTTATTTCATTGAAATAAGTCATTTAGACTCTTTTTATTCCAACAAACGTATATCTTCTTTGACAAATTATCCAATTTGTTATTAAGTGGAACAATTTAAAAGTATTATTATTTATTTATTCGTTGTCACTTTAATGAAACGAGATAGAAATATGTGTAGAATAGAACATCTAGGATATTTAGGTCAATATAAAAAGCAAAACTATGACAGCTTGGATCAATTAAATGAAAGGCTAGTGTACTAATGTAATTAGATTTTATATAATGAGCTAAACAAAAATATCGTAATGTTTGTTTAGTATTAAATATCGTTTATTAATTTTTTACTATTTAATTAATATTAAATAAATATTATTTAAATGGTAATTAATTAAATCATATTCTATCTTTTATTTATATCAAATTTATTAAATTTTTATGTAATATTATAAATTCACTATCGTTTAACGAAATTCTTTCGTAAACTCAACTGACCCATTTATTATTTCCCGTTCAAATTTTACGGATAACTCTCTACCCTCTAGTTTTCTAGGAAAGAATGAAATTAATTAACTAGTTTAGAAGAGTTTACTTTAAAAAGATAAAAATTATCTTCACTTTCCCTTCTTCTTCTATTTTCCCTAACTTAATTAAAATTAATTACTTAAACAGTATTATCTATCTCCTTTTCTCTTTATGTACGACGTGATAAGAAAATACAAACTATACACTATATACGCCTACAGTATATTCGTTGTACGAATATTAAATATTCAATTAGTAAAGTCTAATTTGGCAGTAATTTTAATTTCATGAAATTTCACTTCCAGTTATTGTAGTTTTCAAATTTAACAAAAACACACTAATTATTTATCGAAAGGTAAAATGGCATAAAGTTCATATACTGTAATCCTGAAACAAGAGGGAGCATCTAGAAAGATTAGCTTATATGGCGTCATCTAGCGGCAATGAGAATATAATAATTGAATATTTGTTTATTAAGTCTTTTAATCTATTATCTATAGTTATACAGTCCTTACAAAAAATTAGCATAGTATTTAAGTTGTTATTCTCAGTATAATTTCCCTTTTATTTTTAACGAAACTGTCAATTTTGTCAGCTTTTAAATAAACTGTTACACCCTTGTTGTGGCCTAACAAATTGTATTACCTAAACATAATTGGCCTATCCAAAATTGTCTTTTTGTTTTCGTATCTTTGAGGAAGAATTTGAAAATTCAAGATTTTTTTGTTTTTTTTGATATTATGGGTCGTTTACCGGAAAGTGTTAGATAAAAATAGTAAACCATTTTTCAAGGTCTGATGCAAGTGTCAGAAAAGTCGCAAAAATTTTTAAATGTAGTCCAGCTACTGTTCAGAACTTAAAGAACAAATTTGCGAAGTTTAGAACAGTAAAGGATTTGCCGAGGATTGGTAGACCAAAGCAAATTACAAGGAAAATGGAGTTACAGATTATTGAAACATATAGATTAAATCAAAATTGGACTGCTAGACAAATTTTACAAAATGCTGAATTGCCTATAAGCATATCAGTCTCAAGTATTAAGAAGATAATCTCCAAATACAAGCTTAATGACAGGAAAACTGTTAGAAATTAAAAGTTTATTATATATATATATATGTATATTTATAAATGGCACATATTAATTTCTCACATATTTGCAGACAAAAAACGTTGATATAAGATTAAACGGTCTATATAAAAAAAGAGAAGAAAAATGCTAAAAATGAAAATGTACAGGAAAAACACGTGTACTTTAGAAGACAACAATAAAAAGAGTTTATTTCTGTTGTAAATAACATTTAAAAAGTTGTTGTTTTGTTGTTGTTGTTGTTGTTTTTGCTTTCTTTACTTTTCTTAACAAAAAATGAAATAAGAGAATTATAGACAAATAAAAACAATATAGAAAGAGAATATTAAAGTTATCAATTTTTAAAATAAATAAACAAAAGATAATATTTTTTCGGTACGGACTTGTGATATCATTTTTTGTCAAGTTATCTTTATCTTCTTCTTCGCATTCAAGTTTTCAATTTTTAAAAATAGTTTTTTTTAATGCCTCTTTCTTTTCTACTGTTGTTCTTATTGTTAGAATGAGCAACAATTTTTCTTTTGGTCTTTAACTTCACCAAGTTGCATACCTGCATTTTTTACTTGTAAATCTTCGTTTGCACATAATATCCTAAAAACAAATCAATACATTTAAGATATTTAAAATCATTTGATTTTGAAGTTTACCTTGATAATTCAGTGACAGCTTCTAAAACATTTGCGCCTGTTTTTGCACTAGTTTCCATAAATGATGCTTCTATCTCCTAATATTTATGAGAAAGTTTTGTTATCTTTTATCTTTTAATAGAAAGTATCAAGTTACCTTTGCTAATTTCCTACCATCTTCCGGAGTTACTGATAATTTGTTCATTTGTTTGACATCAGATTTGTTTGAACACAGCATTGTAGGCATTTTGTGAACTTCTTCAATTATATTTGCCCATTCTCTTACGCTTAGGAAAGAGTTTTCGAATGTACAATCATAGAGAAGTAAAACGCCATCTGCTCTTCTGAAATATGATTTTGCTACACTTCGGAATCTTTCCTGACCCGCTGTGTCCCATAGTTGTAAAACAACTAACTTATCATCTACTTCAATGACTTTTGTTTGAAAATCGACCCCTAAAGTCGAACTAAGATTGTTGACAAATTTATTTTTACATAGTCTCATAATGAAGCTGCTTTTTCCCACAGCGGCGTCACCGGCTAAGATTATTCGATACATTCTTTCCGGTTGAGCAGATGATGAAGATTTTACTAGACGCTTTAGGGAGTTTACTGCCCTTGACGAGGTAGTAACATTTGCGGGAGGTGTAACACTTTCTACTGCTGTTTCTTTTAGTTCTTCTACTTCCTCAGCTGTCCTTTCTAAAGGCATTTCAACTGGTGCCACTTCCGATTGTATGCTAACAGCTTCACTTTCTGATTCTATATCAACAACGTCTCGGAGAGTCGAATGACCGCTATCCAGATCATCTGGACCTTCCGCATCGATACTCTCATTACATGGACTATTACCACAGTTTTGTTGCATCTGTTGTAGTTGTAGTTGTGCTTGTTGTTGAGGAATAGCAGCATTATTTTCAATTTGTTTAACTACTTTGTCAGTTACAGCTAAAGGAATGAGAGGCGGAGGAAAATAATCGCTGACGTGGGAACCTTTTCTGGCCGATACGCGGCGCTATAGAAATTCATATAAACTTTTAAGTTAAAGATAGGAAGTAAAATAACTATACTTACTGCACTTGGGCGGTGTGTCCTATTTCTCTCCAAAGTGCTCCTTAAATCATCATTGACGTCATGTAGCTTTTTATTGGCGTCACTTTTTATAAATAAATACATAAAGATTAATCGAGATATCTTGTATTTTATGAATTGCTTACTGCAGGAGGTGAATTTGTCTTGTGAGATTTTCCTGCTCCTTGATGTACTCCATTACTGAGTCCCTTTCACTAAGTTAAAGACTATTTTTAGATTCTTATTTTGACGATTAAAAACTTAATTTATACCTCTCTAATTCATAGCACTTTTCTTCGTATTTTTGCTTTATTTGGGTCATTTCTGACCTCAATAGAGCCAATTTTGTTTGGCAATCAGTGAGATTATTTTTCAAAAATCTGTTTTCACTTTTTAAATCTTCCATTTGTGATTTGAAATCGCCATTATCCTTCTCCTTTTTCCATTGCTCTTCAATTCTCTGTAAGCGTTTGACATTTGCTTGTAACTCAGTGATTTCGCTCTCCAGTGTAGTTTTTAATAACTCCTTCTCTTGTTCATGCTTTAAATGCTCATTCGAAATTATCCTACTCTCTGCCTTAGAAACTTGATTTTCAATATCATCCTCTAATTGCCGCAGATGTTGTGAATGGGCATCTTTCTCCTGCTTAAAAGATCTTTCCAACCTCTCATTTTCGCCACGACTCTGACTGATATCTTTTATAAAAGAAAGAACAATTTCCTCAAACTCTCTCAAAAGTTCTGGAAGTTGCGCTTCATGCAACTTTTGATACATATCGCAAACTTGATCTTGACTATATGCCAATAATAAAAAACAATAAACAGTCATTAAACTCTCCACAAAATATTATATATTAAAAAAAATATGTTAATATAAGAATAAATCTAAAGAATAATCGATATTTGTGTTAAATCATTTATGAAAAGTTACTATTTTCATAATATATTTCAGTTAAACTATTGACTAATATGTATATTTTATAAAAATAGAAATGACGTAGAAGAAACCTAGTTTTTGAAAAAATAACATTAGCTCTTTTTTTATTCATATAATATATATATATATACTGTATATATGTATTTCTGTATATATTCTGATATAGATTTTGGCAAAGAAAACAAATTGTAACGTTTTTTTTTTAATAATCAATAATTACATCCAAGTTGAAAACTTTTGCAGATGTTGTTTGAAAATTTTCAGCTGTCGCATTTTTATCGAAAGTATATAAATGATTTACCTCTAAAACGATTTATTGTGACATAATATTGATTAAATTCTACCCACTGTTTCGTTAAATTGTACAATATTTATTTAAACTTGGTTACTTTTGCTGATGATCTTTTTTTTTCATCTAGTTTAACAGTTTTCATAAATTTGCATAATTTCTTAAATATTTAATAGACGTTTATTTGAGTTAGTATAATATTAAAATTTATATTAATTATTATAGTTCTTTTTTATCAATTAAATAAATTCTTAAATGTTTATATTTTGTAAATACGAATGTTAGTGTTGCAATAATAATACGAAAAACTTACCATGTTAGCGTGGAAAAACTTTCATCCAAGTTCTCCATGAAATCGTCAGTATCCAGATCATTTTTTGAACACTGTGCTGCTGTATTTAATCCCTTTCTTTTTTCAAGGGCTTCATTCAAGTCGAAAAAGCTCTGCTGAAACTCGGATATGGATATTTTCCCATCTCCATCCTTATCCAATTCTTTGAAAACATCGCTTACTTCATCTCTTGTTAGGTTCTGACAAATACTACTTAATTCCTTTTCGTCAATATAGCCAGAACCATCCAAATCGCAAGCATCGAATATCTGACCAATTCTCGTTGTGGCATCCATGATTTTTCCAAATAGTTTGAATAGAGAAATATTTAACAAAATATGTAAATTAGGTTCGATCAAACTGCAGATGTTGCCAACGTTTGTACGTCATAACTTGGTCGTAGGCTTAGACTTTTTCCCAGAGTATATTGTTTACATATTGATTACGACCCGATGTATGGGGGTGCTAAAAGAGAAGGGACGGAAAGGGAAATTGATACAGCAAATGGATGGGCGGTTGATGTGTTAATGATAGCTTGATACAAATGTATTTATACAAATCATATAAAGTCGTATATTTGGTATAGCCTACTATGTAAAAACATGTGATTATTTCAAATACTATTTATAAACTAATACCAATATAATAAATGTTTTAAAATTTTACCCACTCCTCCCACCCCTTTTCCTGACAGTTTCCCATAAGTTTTAAAATAACTGTTACACTGCTATATACATTTGCATAAATTTTTGTTTGTGCATTCGCAAATATATACTTTTTTACATTAGACCATAAAAAGCTGAAAGCTTCTTTAACTCTATTAAATTTGTGTTGTTCAGTTAGCCTATAAAATTTGTCATTAAGAATTTATCTTATTATCATTTGAATATTCTTATTTAATCGATATGCATACAAAACATTTCAATCGAATATTCCTTATAAATATAAATTTAAGTTTATTATATCTTTTCAAAAGCAATATTTCTACTGCAAATACTTTTTTTTTACTATTTTTGCAGTGTTAGCAAAACAGTTTTATTTTCTTATTTGAAAAGTTATATACTCGATTTTCTTTGTTCTATTTACTTTTTCCTACTTAGGTTTTTAATTAATTAGGTTAATTGGATTAAAGAGAAATTCTTCAGAAATAAAACAAAAGACAAGGCATAAAATAAAAAAAATAGAAATATTCCAGAAATTCCCATAGCTAATAAGGCGAATATGTATCTGGAGAGAAATTCAATCGTCTAAATTTAGCCCCAATTCGTTTCCATTCACATAACGACCCCTTTCATATTTTATTACTGTTCGAGGTGATAAATCGAGTAATATCGGTAAACTACAGCGCAGTCCTATAATTATCTATTATATTTTTATGTTCCAAATATTGGAAGTGTAAACAAAAGTATTACGCTTATATTTTTATAGGTCAGTCTTCGGTTCATGTTTATGAATGAAAAATTTAAACTTTAATAACAAAATTTTATATATTAAATTCATATTTAGGTTACAAAAAATATAAAAAAACTGTAATTTTAATATGGGGTTTAATGTGTTTATTACTATATTTATATTATGGAGGCGTTTTACTCTTCTTCTTCTTCTTCTCTAATGTTTAATTAGTTTACGTCAATTGAAAAAATTATGCATACATGGAACAAAATAAGGCAATGTGATTCAAGACACAGTTTTGAAACTGAATTCTTAAAATATTGTGTTACAGTCAGGGAGATTACTTGTGATGAACTGCCAACTAAATTTGATGCTGTACACGTATAAAAACCAGCGTCTTCCAATTGAACATTTCTAATGTTTAACTTTGAAATTGTTTTATGAACATTTGATCTCATTGTTGACGACATTATTTGGGCATTTGGTAGAGTCCATTCTATATAGGGTGGTGGATCCGATATTCCTTGGCATTCTAGCGTAACATTTCCGTTTATAACAGATTGAACGTTGGATTTATATGCCTTCACACTTGGTGACGTGCATTTAAAATGACTAATGTTAACGAGTTCAATATAATTTGTTATTGGAGTAGAACATTGAATTGAATTGGCCATTTCTATAAATAAAACATATATTTTTTTATTATTAACCAGCTAATTTGTTTCTATATTGTGTTTGTTCTTTAATTACTTTTTAATTAAAATAAAATATTTAAAGAATTACTTACTTGTTGTTGTTTGTAGCCATTTCTTAAAATTGATTAATTGGCAATTACAATGTAATTTATTAAACTCCATAGAAAAATATTCTAAATTCTTTAATAATTCAATTTCGTATCTATCCAAAAATCTAATATTGTTTCTGTTAATTATCAGACTTTTAAGATTAGTTAAAGGTAAAAATTGGCTTAAAGTTGATAATGACGTATTCGATATAGATAAATAGTATACAACTTTCTGTAATTCTTTTAGATGATCGTATCTAGCATTTCCCAAATCCGGATTATCGTCCAATATCAATTTTTCAACAACTGTATCCTTTAAAAAGTAGATTGATGTTAATCCGGACGATGTTATGTTTAAGTATTTAAAGTAGAAATTAGCAAAGATAGTCTCATAGAAAATAAGTTTTCTATTAGATAAAGACCAGTCTAACCAATTAAGAGAATTTCTTAATTGTTCAAAAACACCATATGTTCTTAAAGAAGTATTAGATATAGATAGTCTTTCAATGTAGGTCGAATAGAATGTTTGATTGGATATTAATGAAAAATTCTTGTTATTCGACAGATTTAGGAGGATTATATGGCACGAGTCGAAGGCATTGGGATGACTAGTCGATAAGATATTATTAGTTATATTAATCGATTGTAAACTAGTTATTTTCCAAGTAAAAAGAAAGGAACAGGAAAGACAGAGAGAAAAAGGGAATCTCCCGTTTAAAAAGAGCTATATATAGATAAATTCTTACAAGATAAACTTTATCCCTAAACTTTATACCTTATTAAGGTATAGAGATAAACTTGATTAATACGTTCTATAGAAAACTATAGATCAAATAGGAGTTAATTGATTTATTAGTAGAAGGTTCTTTACGATCCGGTAAGCTGATAGGTCTGGATCAACTTGTCCAAATAATAGAAAGTGGTGTAATGATTATATCAAATTTTTTTGCGTTTAAATATAGTTATTTGCTTAAACAGAACGTATATTATTATTCCTATTGGCCCTGATTGAATTTTTACTTTAAAATAAATAGAGATAAAAAAAAAGAGTTTGCTAAAGATCTATTTCTTATTTCCTTTTTAAATGAATCTCTTATTAATTTAACTTTATTTGATGTTCTTTTTCTTTTTACTTGGAAAGTCCAACGAAGGTCTCTGGTAATATTTCTCTTATAAAATTAAAACTCAGATCCAAGGTAACTAAATTTTGAAGATTTTCAAAGGCGTATCTTTCCAGATAAGAAATTCGATTATATCGTAAGTCGATAGTAGTCAATTGACGGTATCTACCGAAAAGCTTGCCACGAATTATGTAGACGTCATTTCGTTGAAAATAGAAGGCGATAATTCGATAATGCAAATCCGTCGGTATCCGAGTTAGATTCGTTCGAACACAAGCTACTGTCAGATGAAAGCAACTGCAACCAGGAGGACAGATATATCTGGTAGTTGATACTAGGATTGAGACCATGAGAACCAAAAACCTAACGATGAGCATTTTCTAAATTAACTTCTATACCATTTACTCAATGACATTCCTGCGCTCAATCTTTCTCACACTGACACACACACTCTCTATCGCTTTCAGCGCGTCCTCTTCTTTTAACAAAAATAAACCCAAGGGCGAGTGGAACCCTGTCCAAACTGGAAGGATTGAGATTAGCTTGAGAATGACCGGTGGCGCTGCGTGCGGGGGGATTTTTTTGTATTTTCTAAATCCTGCTAATACTGCTCTGTATGAGCAAAAGGAAAAAGGAGGAGCGAAAGAGGAACGTGCTCTAGCAGGAAATACAAAGCTAAACAACGAATAACATTTACATTCCTGTATATTTCGGTTAGCTCTTCCTGATTGTTGAGAGGAAATGATACCTAATATAGCATTGATTGATATATTTCATTATTAATTAACTATATATAAACCTTATCTGCTTTTTTTGGCCTTAAAATAAATTAAGTTTATTTTCGTAGATGCACAATAAAGATACTTTTATTCATAACCCTAGCAAATCTAAGCCCCTTTAACGAGTGCCTTTTTATTAACTTTTACGATGACATAATTCCCAGAGAGTTTTGGGAATAGCCTATAAAATCTTTCTCTCCCCCACCCCAATTCATAAAATACCCTATTTTAATCCTCTTTTTTTAAAAATAAATCCTTCTTACTTTCTGTCAATCCAGTCGAATCAGTTACATGAAAGGGAAAATTCTCTATTGAAAATTTTGGACATATTTTCTGCATAGTGACTTTTTTTCTCTCTCGCTCTTTCTCTTTTTCTCTTTTTCTCTTGTCGTTTATGTAAATCTATATTCATTATATATATGTATATGTTTATGCCTATTAGTGCCTCTTTATATATACAGTTCACTATGATATCTATATTTTAACACATTCATTTAATTTAAACAATAAATTTAGTTTCCGTTCTCAAGAAAAAGAAAAAATGTGTACTGTAGAAGGCCATAAACTCATCGAAACTCCTTAACATTTCTCCCATGGAGGGTTGTTCGTATAGAGGGCTTTACTGCCAAAAGAGGCCCTTTGAGAATTCGATGTAGATGCGATCATCAGATAGCTAACCAGTTCTATTTTTTATACTATAACATGAACAATAAATAAACCTCTTTAAAACTGGAGAAAAGATTCTCTAGTAAATGTCTAAGTTTCGAGCTCCTTACCCATACAAATATAATTTTAAATATCTTATTTAAATGAAAAATTAACTAATTATACTTATCAAAAGAACTTTTCAGTAGAAATATACTTACTGTAGTATATCCTCTACTTATCTATTAATCAATATAAATGGACTTTCTAAATGAAAAGAATTATCTGTTTCCTCATCAAAATCAGAATAAAGCAAATAATAGAAAGAGGAAGGTTATTCAACTTTTGTTGGCAAATAGTTTTACTATCCTGTGGTAGAGTTACATATTTTTTTTTTGTAAACAGTTCACGATCAGCCATAAAATATATTACAATGATATTAATATGCCTTTTGCAGATATGTATAAGATGCTTTCTGTGTCTATTTTATGTTCTACATATTTGAACTATAGATATACTGTATATATATACAATGTATTGTGTGTGTGACTTGAATTTCGCTTCTTTTCTTAAATAATTAAT